GGCCCCCACTGGCCGCGGTTCGCTGTCCTGGGCCAATGGGGGCGGCAGGAAGCGGCGTGGGTGAGGGATGTGCTGGCCGCGGCTTCCCACAGCCCCCATTGGCCCGGAACGGCGAACCGCAGCCAGTGGGGGCCGCGATCGGCCGAACCTGCCGCGTCAGCAGGTAAATAAAACTGGCCCGGCCCGCTAGGGTGCTTACCCTGACGAGCCGCCTGCCAAACGTTGCCGACCCCTGTTCTAGCCCCTAAGCAGAATGTTCTTCACATTACAATCCACCATGTGAATTCAGTAAGGTTGTCAGACTTAGTTCAGCAGAGACCAAAACAGTCACTCCTTCAGTTTACAGTTCAAAACTGCAGGATATTTAGAAAGCTGCCCTGTGCTGTTGATCATTTGCTATTGAATCAGTGATAATTTCTATCCTCATGTTTAGAAACAATACAAAGTATTTATAAGTACCTCTCCTGGTCAGAAGCAGAGTCCACTGGCTCTCAATCTGGTGCTTGGCTGCTGATCTGAGAACTGTTCAGCATGTGCTGCCTTTCCATTGGGAGAGAGGCTCTGGCCCCAAACTACTGCAAAATAGGAAGCTGTGAGTGGCCTGTTCTCCTAGAGGATGCAGACTGCAGCATTCACCCATTTGGCAGGCAGCACAAGGACACTCAACTGCAATAGATGACCAGCGTCTAAAAATGTTGCGGGGAGGGAAGGGAACAATAACTAGTTGTATCTCTAGATTCAGAGGCAACTTTGGAGCTTCCTGAAGGAGAAAAGACAGCAGCACAATTGTACGAAGACTGGTCTGTGTTAAGTTTTGTGTGATTGTGTTTTTATTTTTTGCTTCGATGGGTGTAAGTAATCCAGCCCTACTTGACTTAGGGCTTGTCTGCACTGCCCAACAAGTTGGACTATGGGGTGCGAATAGCAGTGTGGGCCAAAGTGCTGCGTTGTTACTTCCTCGTGTGGATGCTGCAGGCATGATCTAAGATTCCTAGTTCGTGTTAACATAGTTCTCTTCAAACAGGACTTATAATTTATGCCCGCAGTATCCTCCCGGGGGTGTTATAGTGCAGCATTAGAGGGCGTACAGCTATTCACACCCACCATAGTCTATACAGTGGCACACGGCGCACTGTAGCATACTGTCGATATAGCCTTAAGCTACATCTACACTGCATACTTTTTTGGCAGCATCTGGGGTACATCCCACATAACTCCCCTAGCACAGGTATAAATAAATAGCATTAAAGCTGGCAAAGCATGGCATAGGCAAGTAAAGACATGTCTGAAGGGTGTGGGTATGTATGCGAATATGTACCCTATATGCTCTCTACCCGCCAACCTCATGCCTCCTTGTCTACACTGCTAAAAAAGAGCAGTGTCCCACTTCTGGTGCCTTCCCTGCCGCAGGAATAGATTCCCCCAGCAAGGGAAGGCTCTGGCGGCAGAGGTAGTGGAGAAAAGCTTGGGTAGCTTCCTACTGCAGAATGGGAAAGGCTCTGGCAGGGGGGAAAGGTTCCACCAGCTCCCCGCTGCAGGAGCATTCCCCTTGCACGCGGAAAGGCCATCTGGCAAGGGCTCACCCGTCCCCACTGCCTCTCCCCACCAAAACCTTTCATTGACGTGTGTAGCTACACCCCCACAGTGTGGATGCAGCCTGTGTAGCTACATATACATGACATGCCGCCACTGGTAATGTGTAGTGTAGGTGTAGCCAACAGCTTCTGTCAAAATTAAAGTAATGTACAGTGTACGTTAGCTCGCTGTAGAACACATGGAATATTCAGGAGGCCAGATGAAGCCTAAGAATCAAATATTCTTTCAGGGATTTTTGTGTCAGATTAAAGACACACGGGCTTCAGGGGCCTTGTTGGTTTGCAGTACTTGCTTCATTTTGCAACTTGCACAACTCTTTCCAAAGAGAGGAAGTGTATTGTTTTGGGAAATGGGATGCAGCACATCAGTGTGTGAAACTTTCAAGCCAAGCAGCAAAGTGTGTTTTTGTGAAACCAAAAGCAAGTTGTCATTATGGAGGTGCCAGTAGCAAGTTTATAGTTAAAGTTGTGTTGAGTTTTGCACATAAAGCAGAGATTCAACTTCTTGATTATGTCACATATTTTCACTTCCATATATTCTGTGTAAAACTGTTGCTGTCTGAATTTTTACTAGGATCATTTGGCTGTTTTTTGTGGCTTTCCTCCATCATTTTGTTCCTCTTCTGTTAATGGAGCCCTTTGGTTTGTGCACAGAAGGAATACTAGATTCATATTTCAGTTGGGGATGATTGCCACGCATGTATTCCAGCCTGCGTTATATCAGAGGACACCAGCCAGTTCCCATGTCTCACAAATTAAACCAGTTCCTGATTGTGATGATGATAGTCTACTGACTCCCTTTTAAAATGACTAATATTCAACAGCAATGGTCCAGAGTTCTGTTGTTCATATAGCACTCCTTGCTTCACATTCCACTACTTTTCTGCACTAATGGCCAGTATTTACTGTGGTAGTTCTTAAGAGAGTAGACTTTTTAAAAAAACATCTACAGAGCTTTGGCCTATTGTAAGCCAATGTGCCTGTGAACTATTCAGATTATTTTTCCAGCTGACTGCTCCAAACATATTGGAAAAAATTAACTTTTTCTAAAAAAAAAAAAAATTGGAGACATTATAGATGTTTCTAAAGGTCAGTTTTTGAATAATTCTGGCCTTTTTTTCCCTTTCATTTCTTTTTTTAATGTAAAATACCAGCTAGGGCAAAGCAGAAATTTTCCCTTCTGTAATTATTAATGGTTTTGTAATTGGGGGGTGAGGGGAGCTGAAGAATCTCCCTGCATGGCTGAAACTTGTTGCTGGTCTAGAATTTCCATATAAAAGCATCCAGTGACGTTTGCACCAGTTAAAGTGAATTAATAACTGCTGCCTGGCCAGCTCCCAGCTCCTATCTTGTCCTAAGTGCTTGGGTTTTTATTGTAGAGATCAGCTGAGGAAGTGACATTTGAGTCTGGATTTGGTTTAGGCTAGGGTTTGAAATACAGGTTCAAGGCCAAATCAGGGCTTGAGTTTGAATTTGACGGCACTGAAATCTCTCAAGCTGTTCTGACAGGATGTCCGTTCCAGGACAGCAGAAATCTTATGCTTATTATTATCTTATTAGAAATCTAATCATTTGAGAATTCGTGAGACTTTTCTGCCATCATATGTGGTGGGAAAATCACAGTATTATCTGTTTTTGAGAGATTTTTAGCTCCATCAGAGCTAGGCCCAGAATCAGAATTGGAGGGGCAGGTTTGACTCAAGGGAATCCAATCCTACCCCACCTTCAGAAATGCCAAGGGAATCAGATTTAGAGATTCTTGCCTCTCATAAAAGGTTTTTGTTATTGTAATTTCTAAGCGCTTCATTTGTGAGATGTGTACAGGGTTGGAGGGGCCAGGGGGATTACCTAAAGTGGGGTGGGGCTATTAGTACTTTTAACTCAAATAATTGGACTATAATATTTCTAGCTTTTTACTTACTTGGGTCTCTCCTGCTTTGTCAGTCATGGAGACATGCTAGCCACTAAGGCAGAAGTGGGCAAACTACGGGCTGGACCGTCCTTCCCCGCCCTGAGCTCCTGGCCGGGGAGGCTAGCCCCCTGGCCCCGCCCATGCTGTCTCCCCTCCCCTGCAGCCATGCCACCGCACGGGCAGTGCTCTGGGCGGCGGGGCTGCGAGCTCCTGCAGGGCAGCGTGGCATGCTCCGGCCGAGCGGCGCGGCTGCCAGACATGCTGCTCTGAGCGGCATGGTAAGGGGGCCAGGGCGGGGGGGTTGGGTAAGGGGCAGAGGGTCTCGGGGGGCAGTCAGAGGACAGGGAGCGAGGAGGTTGGATGGGGCCGAGGTTCGGGGTGGGGCGGTCAGGGGATGGGAAACGGGGGGGTTGGATAAGCGTGGGCGTCCCGGGGGGCCTGTCAGGGGGCGGGGGTGTGGATGGAGTTGGGTCAGTCAGGGGACAGGGAGCAGGGGGGGTTAGATGGGTCGGGGGTTCTGAGGGGGGCAGGCAGGGGACGGGCGGGGACCAGGCTGTTTGGGGAGGCATAGCCTTCCCTACTCGGCCCTCCATACAGTTTTGCAACCCCGATGTGGCCCTGGGGCCAAAAAGTTTGCCCACCGCTGCACTAAGGTGATGGCAACTCATTGTAAAAGCATTTTCTCACTAGACAGTATATAAAACAGAAGTGGCACTAGCCTTGTAAGAGACTTCCCAACCTCCTAACTAGAGTATGTGCAGGAAACCTTACGTGTGTTCAACCTCAGACGAGTTCTGACTTTGCATGTCCTGGTAGCCTAGCGGGATTGCTGTGATGGCAATGCTTACAGCCTGGGTCAGGCCAGGGCAAGTCTCAACTCCCCCAGGGGCATCACTTCACTCAATTCAAGAGCATCACTGAGCAGCAAGATTAGGGATTCTTGACCAGTTCTCCTGTGGCTGTGAGGATCATAGGATATGTTACTACAACCATGAGCAAGGAAAATGGGGTGTTGTATCAAACAGGAAGGAAAGGGTTTCTGAGGCAAGAAAAAGACAGAAAGTTCTCTAGGTCCGTTGCATTTTTTCCCTTGATCCGAGCTATGATAGTCTTAATGTTTTTATACAGCATGGCAGGTTTTTGTCTTTCTCTTTCATTTGTACAGGAAATTGTGGCAAGTTAACAAAAGAGCATAAACCCTAACGCCCATTACCGCTCTCAGAGATGCATTCAACATTCATGCACATCCTTTCATTTAGCAGACACATATCTCTGAATTTAATGATGATTTGCGGATTTTTGTTTGTTCGTTCAGGGAGTTTGCTATTTCTGGCTTTATTAGAAGCCTTTTAAATATATTTTGCAAACTAAATATTTAAAATGGATTTCCCTGAATAGACAAAAGTGACCAGGTATATTTGCTGGATCTAGTTATATTGAATTTCATATGAATGTTTTTAGGCTGGGGATTTTCAAGGAGTTAGTAACCAAAATCCCATTATAAATCAGTGTGTGATGGACCTGTAACTCCCTGTGCCCCCTTTTATAGAGCCCAGCCTTAATGGACAGCTTATCTCCAGGATGATTAGGACAAAATCTGATGCACTGAGTGATTGGCTGACTCAGGGCATTAGGACTGGGATGTGGAGCTTTTTCACCTCCAGGTCGCTGGGTCATGTGCAAGCCAGGTTGATATTAAGTAGTGAGTTGAGAGTTGTTACCCTTGGAACGTATCAGTGGCCTATATGAAATAAACTGATGAGTTCAGTCTAGGTGGACAAGAGTCTAAATCTCAAACCCAGTATCCCGACTCTCATTCCTGTTACCTTCTTTGGCGTCTCTGCAGAGTGATGGAAGATATAAATATAAAGGAGTGATCCTTTTTCACATTGTGCAATATTTTTTTCCCTGTTCCTTTCCTGCATCTGGTTTCCTGTCATTCTTGCTCTAATTAAGAAGATATTTGTGTTTAAGGAGAATCTTTTGCTGTTATAATCAACCCCTACTTCTGCCTGCCTGTAAAGTTATAAATCTTCAATCATGTCCCTAGTTGTTCAGTGGCTCCTATTCACCCCCTTATTTTTCATCTAAAGAATAACAAGCATCTTTGTGTATTTTGAGGCATAGTATGCCATTGATTTTTAAGCAGAACTCCCAATCAATTGAAATCTGTGGGGAAATCTTGTTAATAATCATTATATGGCCTAATTATCATGGAAGGCAGCACATTTGGCAATATCTAGAGCTGCTCTTCTAGTTTGAGTGGAAGTGAAAATCCCTAATTACCCCACGGTCTCGCATAGAAATGTAAGAGGAAATCAAAAGGCAAACTTCTTCTGACCTGACTTTTTGTGTGTGTGTTTTCTCACTTTACAGACTGCAATGCAATTGTTCACAAAGGCTGTAAGGAGAGTCTCGCATCCTGTGCAAAAGTCAAAATGAAGGTGAGAGGTTTCATGTCGTCTGCTGAACATGACATTTATTTTGAAGTGTTTTAGCATACAGACATCTTTTGCAACATGTGCAGGAATGAAATTTCCAGTCTGCTGGGCATAATGTCAGAATCCCGTGTTATGGGGGATCATTTTCCTAAACTCTCCTGAAATTTATGATACTCGCCCAAATTGTAGATTAATTCTGCTTCCCTTGCCTGATGTGAATAGCAAAAAATCATATTCTAAGTTTTGTAAAATGCAGTTCAGTTTGTTTAGAGCCAGGGGAAGGCAGGGATGGGGACAAGTGGTGGAGGAAGGGGGAAACAAGGACTGAGACACGGAGCTGAGCACAGGGGAGGGGAAGGAGGTTGCTCATCTCCCTCTAGTGACTGTCCCATATAAAGGATGCCAACCTACTACTGCTGTGAGTTACCATGTGAGCCTAAGTGACAGGTCTGTGCTGTGGATCTAAAGACTCCAGCAGTGCTACTGATTTTATATATTTTTATATATATATATATAGAGAGAGAGAGAGAGAGAGAGATCAATATGGTTCCACAATATATAATTTGTTTTCTAGGTATGATTAAAAAAAACCACTAGGATATTACATACAAAAAAAGCCTACAGTATAAGAACATTATGGTTGAAAAGTCAAGCAGTCAAAAGTTAGTAAATACCAGAATTAAGGTTTGCCCTCTGCAAACTTAACTTGCCCTCTTGTGCATATGCATAATGATACAGTCTTTACATGATCCACAGGACCCCTGCTTCATTCAGTGCAGAGACTGGACAGTGCTCAGGAAATGAATCAAGCTTGTGTGGTTAGTGTGGCAGCTGTAGGTAGGACTCCTGCCTCATTTGTTGTAGAACTTGGAAGGTGTGTAGTGAATGAGGCTGTGGATTGCAGGAAGAGGAAGGATAGTCTTGTTGTTTAGTCATTCGAATGCCACCCTGCCTCTGCCACAGAGTTCCTTTGTGATGCTAGACAAGTCACTTAAACCAAACTTTTCTAACGTGACCCCTGTGTCCTTCCCTTTCTTGGTGCCTAACTTGAGATCTTGAGGTCTGATTTGCAGAAGTACAACTGAAGTCAGTGGGAGCTCTGTTCTGAAGAGATATAGTGCTATGTTCTCCGAAGAATCAGGCTACAGGCATCTCAAATCAGACACCCACAATTAGTGGACACTTTGACATTACTGCTTCCGTGCCTTAGTTTCCCATCAGTAAAACAGTAAAAAAGAAGAAGAATTGAGTAAACTACTCTAACCTACACTCCATATTCCCCAAATCAGAAGAGTTTGCCCATATTTACCCTTGACTACACTACTGGGAGTAACAATACCTTACCTCATGGGGTGTGTGAAGATCAACTAATGAACATTTGTGAAACACTCAGGTGCTACATTGAAAAGGCCATCGGGAGATCAATGCTTCTCTATACAGAGTAGGGTTTGAATAGTGGAGCCACGCATTGATCAATGAGGATAAAACAGATACTATAGCAGTTCGTTAATGGAGCACCTCTTCTCCTGTGCATCTCCATGTGACCGGAGTGAGCATGTACCATCCCCACCGAGCAACTGAGCACGCTGCAGCCCAGGGCTGCACTGGATTTCCCCTGCTATTGCTCCTCCTGGTACCAGGGGCCGCTGTGGCCATGGGCACAGGAACCCAGAGTAGGAAGATACTCTCTTCTGCGCCCTCCACACTCCCCTGGCAGCAGGGAGAGGAGCCGGGCCTGGGTGCGGTGGGTACGGTGAGCAGGGAGATTGGGATAAGGTTGCAATGAAATATAGAATAGCTCCCCAGCCTGTGAGCACTATCCGTCCTGTGCACTGAATGAGGCATGGATCCTATAGAAACAATAGCATCTGTTCCTGTAACTAGATTACAACATAATGCATGTGCACCATGGAGCCAAATTAAGGTCACATGGGCAACCTTAATTTTGGCATTTTTTTAACTTTTAAGTGCTAGACTTCGCAACTTTAATATTCTTTCAAGGCAGTTTTTGTATGTTAATATAGATGAGCGCCTCTGATTGGAATTCATGGTTGTCCCATGTGCGGGGAGCCCCCTTCTCATCCTGGTTCGCCAAGCCACCGTGCTCTTCTTGTTCAAGGCTTTCGCTCCTGTCTTTAAATCATAAGCTGTTGGAGGCAAGGACTGTGTTCACCGTGCTGAGCACATTGCTACATTTAACAGCTAGCCACTACAATTATGTATACTGTTCCCTCAGTGATCCTTTTGGCTTTAATACACTTAGCTATCTAGCAATATCAGAACTATATCAGGATTATTGTCTCCCTATTTTACTTCTTATTGAAAATATTTCTCCATATTTGATTGCATACCTTGTGATGGCTTGGACTGTATCACCATGCTGAAGATAATGCTGCTTGTAGATACCCAGGGCACTGTATCTGGGATCTAAGCTGTTCTGAGGGAACTTGGAATGGTGTTACTGCGTGATTAAAATAAGGTGTCTGTGGATATACACAACCCTTTATTTATGTTGGGCGGGAAAAATTAAACCTCTCTCTTTTTCTTTCAGATACAAAAAGGGATGCTTCAGGCACACGATACCTCTTCGTTACCCACAGTAATTATGAGAAACAAGAGTAAGAAGCCTTCCCTTCCCTCTTTTCTGGTGTAGCTCCCTAAAAGTTGCTATTTTTCATTGTATTCAGTATAATCTTTTACCATCGTGTTCAACTGTTATCCATTTCAATACGATGAAAGATAAAACATTTTAGGATGCAGAAGTAAAGTGATTATATCCTGTGTGATAAGCAACGTTTGGGATTTTAGAGGCATTGCTCATGTTGTGCAAATGGTTGGCCCAGTTCTGTGGTACCCATATAAGCTTATGCAGATACAAGCTATGGAAGAAAGAGGCCATGTTTTCCGTATTGGAGACAGTATTTTTAATGATCCAGTTCTTTTCTGTTGGTTACACAATGCAATGGAGCTAGAATTTGGCTGTAGCTGGCCAGCTGAGAATTCTCCTGGAGTGAGTGAACTCTCAGCTGGAAAGAAGACATCAGAGGTGTTACCTGGGTTATTCATAAACTGGGAGAATGTTTAAAACAACATTGAACTGAGTGTTTTGTTCAACGGGGAAGTTAAAATGGAAGGGGTAATTCCAAACTGGGCCATTTCAGTGAGCTGCTCTTGTCAGATGGACCAGCAGCACCACTGTGGGAAACAGGAAGGCTGACCAGGGAAAGAAAAAAGAGAGAGTGAGATGCAGGGGCTAGTGATGATGCGGAGAGATGACCAAGCCCTTCTACATAACTGGAGGGTCTTTCTCTCTGCATTGTGTGAACTGATGGATAGTCAGAAACTCAGTCCTAAGAGGGGTCAGGGCAAATCGAGGGTTGGAAGAGCTCAAAGGAGGTGATAAGAGCACCAAGACGAGTTGCTGTAAGTGACTGTTTCAGTCATTTTGTAATAAAGTTCTGCTCAGCTTCCCATGAGAGTATTCCACCCAACCCTCCCTTCCAGCAGGCAGTACAGTGAGGGGTCAAAGATCTTTCCTTCCCCCACCAGGAAAGCCCAGTGTTCCGTCTGGTGCTCTGCTCACCACTTCCCTGCACAGGAACACAAGCGAACAATTGAACAGTCTCACAGAAGATGATGACTGATCATTTACCTTGTTCGTTTTTTCCTATATTGCCGTAGAAGTTATTTATACATAAGAATACTGTGTCTTAAGAGTTTGGAACTGCCCAGATAGGTCAAACAAATATAAATTACGTTGTTCAGTGTAGGCTCCAGACTTACCTGGGGACTACTTCTGAAGTCTTACTCAGGCAGAACTACTCAAGTGCATGAAAATTATGTCCTGAGCAGGGATTTCAGGAATGGGCCCTGTGTTAATAAACCAGTAAAGACAGAGAATGAGGCTAGATTTCAATGGAGCTATAACAATTGATACCAGCTGAAGATCTGCCCCTGATTATTTCTAAGCAAAGAGGAAGTGGATTGTTAGAACCTTGCTTGGTCGAGTCATCATAATGAGTTTAGCAAGGAGTTTGGATGGTGTTTCTTATCAGATATTTGGCATTTCTCTTCTAGCCTCACAACCTAAGGAGCGCCCTCGGTCTGCAATACTTGCCCCTGATGAAAACACAGTAACCTCAATATTCAATAACAGGAGATCACAGCAGACCACAACACTTTCAAAAAGCGTCTCAATACAGAACATTGCAGGGTAAGCCTGTGTGTGTACAGTATGCATAGTGTAAGCAACCTACATTATTCCCCACATTTCATTAGGAATTACATTTATGGGTGTGTCACATATATTCTATCACCACATATGCAGAAAGACAAATACTATATACTGTCTGAGGAAAGGGTCAAGATGCAGTTGCTGTGGGAACTATAACTTCAAATTTCCTGTGTGTTGGGAATTAAAATTTTCAACAGTTTGCATGTAATGCAGCCATTCAGAACTCAAGCTGCTAAAAGCTCCATACCATCACACATCATCATGCGTTTTGTCTTTATGTATAAAATAATTACATACACACGTGGAGTGCTGCTATACATAAAGATCATTCCATGATCATTAATTCTCTCTTCCATTTTCCCTAACACCAGTGATTTTAGAAAACCCTGTTGGATGTGTGTTTGCAGAGCTGTGAAGGGGAAAATTATCAAAAGGCTCAGCTTAGAAAAACATCCACAAGATTAACTGCTTATCCAAATGTTATATGAATTTCATTCAGCTAGAACTTTGCATGTACAGACTCTTGAAAGATTTCCAATATTCCTCAGCATTAGCTGAGCTGGAAAAACAGTACCTTGAAAATAAGGCATTGGAATGGCAATGCAAAAATGAAAAGTAATTAAATTAAGTTTACCAAACTCTTTCAGACCTCAAATATTCACTTCAGGTTTTAGGGAAATGATTATTTCAGTTAGAAATGTAGATGATCCCGTTTGTTGAGCCCTAATTTGTAGTTATTAGCACTATATATAAAGTATATAAATACATGCGCACACAACACATATACCTGTGCATAATTGGCAACATTTAGTGCAGCTTTCAGTTTTATTTAAAATTATATTTGTTTTATGTACTTTAAAAAGTGATTGATTTTGAGTTTTGGAGTCCTGAATGGGGTTCTGCATTTCCTTTTTTCTGCAGAGTTGGTAATGATGAAAGCATAATACAGACTTGGAAATTCCTGTCACAGTCAACAGACTCTTTACATAAAATCAGCCGAGTGAATGAATCCACGGAGTCGCTAACTGATGAGGGTAAGAGATCCCAATGTATTTGTACAAACATAGATGCATCCCCAGCAAATGGATGGTCTCAACATTGATTTTTAGAAACACTAAATCCTTTAGAAGTGTTTTGATATCAGATTTGTTTTCTTTGCTGGAAGATTGAAGCTTATTTACATAAGAGAAAGTATAAAGAGAGACAAAAAAGCAAGGCCCCATATAGTAATTTCTTTATAGGCTAGAGCATTTTAGCATATTCTGAGTGGAGGGGAAAATATATGAAGCATTTCATTTACATTTGAGTTATGTGGGCGGTGTTTATAGCTCAGAGGTACACCTTCCTCCCCATCTTTCATGCTTTGTCTGTTCTTCCAATCTATTTGTACATCTACATATCCCTATATATTTTACTTTTTTCATATTGGCGGGTTCAAAATATAGTTTAATTTTTTTTCAGTTAAATTTACGAATCCAATGTACATCAAACCAAAAAATGAAGTTATTTTTTAAGCAAGGAGTGCTCTAGGGTATAACTAGTCCTTAAATGTTTTATATCTTAGCCGACGTTGGCCTGAAAAGTACAACATGGTTTTAATTCATTAGGAACTGAACAGAGGACATGATGACAGAGAAATTTCCAAATTGCCAGGAATTCTCACGTGTCCAGGCAACAAATGAACAATTTCTTTCTAAAATGTACATAATCTTCAGTTCCGGGCACATCGATTATTGCTTTCTAAGCTTGAAAATACAGATTTCACAACACGCTCCTTAACGGTTCTGTTAATTTACTGAAGTAAACAAAGGAGGGTAAATTGCATATTAATTACCATGCAATTACATGGTAGATAACTGGTTCTTGCTTGACTTGTAAACAAGAGTTCAGTATACATGATAATTGTGGACTTTAGCAAGTAACCTATAAAAGTAGTTTGCGTTGTTTCTTACTTACTCAGTAAAATTCGACATAATTGTTTCCATGTCAGTAAAGGAGAGTGGATATGATTGTGGCATTCAGAACAAAGCCTAAATCTGTAGACTAGGCAATGGGAATTTCAAATGGGACCAGATATCTGTTTATGCTGCTTTTATGCAGGTGCAGACATGAATGAAGGACAGCTCATGGGGGACTTTGAGATGGACTCCAAGCAGCTGGAGGCAGAATCCTGGAGTCAAGTAGTGGACAGCAAGTTTTTGCGGCAGCAAAAGAAGGATATCGTCAAACGGCAAGATGTCATATATGGTGAGATGTTTATTGGTTAAAGAGAAGTGATCTAATTTAGTTCGTAGAAACCTCTAGGTTTGGATGGTCTGTTCATATTTTTTAGTTTGTGACTGATTTGGAAACTTTAAGTCAAAGGGAGTTTGCCATTGACTTCACTGGGGCCAGAATTTCACTCTTGGTGTTTACTGGAAATGAAGACCTCCAATGCCATCTTAGTAAGCTTTGGAATTCTGGATTTCACTTACCTTGAACCATCCAAACAAATTGCAACTCCTGGTTTGTCTGGTGATGACCTTTATACACAGTTACTCATGAGTACAGAGTAGTCAATTACTTGTATTAGCATCTTCTCCCCCTTGATATAAGAGTCCTCTTTTGCTACACAAAAAAATAACTATATTGAGAGGAGCAACATGGTGTTTTGGTATTATCATCTGTCTGCAGTGTTCAAATTCTAGCATAATGGTCCTCAAACTTTTTACCTCACCCCCCCCCCGCCCCCCTTGCCCTCTGCCCTCCTCCCCCCCAGCTGCGGTTGGGAGCCAGGTGCCGAGGCTGGGGCCAGGTCTGTGGCTGGGAGCAGAGCCGCAGCTGGGCTGGGACCGGGAGCAGAGCCGCAGCCGGTCCAGGGGCTGGGGCTGGGGCTGAGAGCTGGGGCCAGAGCAGGGTGGGGTTGCACTCCCTCCTCCCCTGTGTGGGGCTGGCCCAGGCCCCACTTCATGGTCTACCCCTCTCGAACGTTCCTCCGTGCCCTCCCTAGAGGGACAGGTCCCACAGTTTGGGGGCCGGTGTTCTAGCAGTAATGAGAGCGAGCACTTGTTCATATAAACAGAGTATGGGGAGGGCTGATCCACCCCCAAGCTATGCCCTACCACGCACTTTGAAAAGAAAAAATGTTTTCACATTGATAATCTAATTAGTAACTATTAAGAGGCAAAAAAAGAATGAAACTGGTATATACCAATGGTATTGGGAAGCCCAAAGTGTTGCATTTAATGTATTACAGGCTGTTTTCCCCTGAGTTCACATGTATAAATCCCAGTAACACTAGTGCAAGTAACACACACATCAGAATGGGGAATTATGACCCCATAGCACTTCATTACATTGTTAGCTTCTATGAGCCCTTCTAACCAGCTAGATCTGGTAAGTGCCTTTCCTTGGCTTAGCAGTGCCAAGTACTCTGGGTTGATACAGCGCCTCGTCCTAGAAGATAGTAAAAATTCTCATGTGCTTCCTGTGTTGGACCTGTCCTTGTCTCATGCAGAGCTGATGCAGACAGAGATGCATCACGTCCGCACTCTGAAGATCATGAGTGATGTGTACAGCAGGGGGATGATGCAGGAGTTGCAGTTTGAACAGCAAATGGTGGAAAAGGTCTTTCCTTGCCTGGATGACTTGCTGAACATCCACAACCAGTTCTTCCAGCGCATTCTGGAGAGGAAGAAAGAGTCCTTGGTGGAAAAAAGTGAAAAGAACTTTGTTATCAAGAGGATAGGAGACATCCTGGTGAATCAGGTGAGTGGTGAGACACCCCTGCGTGCTCTGAGCACAAGACTGCAAGCCAGGAACTCCTGAATTACAATTCTCTCTCTTAGGGCAGGTCTACACTTAAAAGGCTGCGTTGGTGCAGCTGCTGTGCTTTAGCACTTTAATGAAGATGCTCTACACTGACGGGAGAGCTCTCTGCTGTCAGTGTAGTTAATCCACCTGAGCAAGAGGCGGTAGCTACATCAGCAGGAGACGCCCTCCCACTGACGTAGCACTGACTACACCAGTGCTTAGGTCGGTATGGATTTTTCACACCCCTGAGCGACACACACCTCTACCCCGATAGAACGCTGTCCTCGGGAGCCAAAAAATCTTACAGTGTTATAGGTGATACCGTGTTATATCAAACTTGCTTTGATCTACCAGAGTGTGCAGCCCCGCCCCCCCGGAGTGCTGCTTTACTGTGTTATATCCGAATTTTTGTTATATCATAGAATATCAGGGTTGGAAGGGACCTCAGGAGGTCATCTAGTCCAACCCCCTGCTCAAAGCAGGACCAATCCCCAGGCAGATTTTTGCCCCAGATCCCTAAGTGGCCCCCTCAAGGATTGAACTCACAGCCCTGGGTTTAGCAGGCCAATCGGGTCGTGTTATATCGAGGTAGAGGTGTAGTTATTTATACTGAAGTAGTTCTGTAGTATAGACCTGCCCTTATGCTGTCTTACTGGTGGCCTAAGGTGAGTCGCATCACCTCTTTGGGTATGTCTACCCAGCAAAGAAAAACCCGTGTCTGGCCCGTGCCAGCCGACTCCGGCTTGTGGGGCTCAGGCTGCGGGGCTGATTCATTGCTGTGTAGACTTCTGGGCTCCAGCCCAAGCCCAATGGGATGGGAGGGCCCCAGAGCTCAGGTTCCAGCCCGAGCCTGGAAGTCAACACAGCAATGGAACAGCACCGCAAGTCAGAGTCGGCTGGCACAGGCCAGCCGTGGGTTTTTCTTTGCTGCGTAGACATCTCCTTTGTGCCTCCGCTTCCCTACTTATACAATAGAGATGACAATAATTGTGCATCTTTGTAAAGGGCTTTGAGCTTTTCAGGTGAAAGGCTTGATGTCAGGTTTGATGCCTGCTTTGTTTGTTTATGCCACATGGGCAGAAAAGCATCAGCGCTGGTTACAGTACAGTCTGTAGTTTATTGCACTAAGCTTGGAAGCAGGGAACCTGGATTCCATTTCCTGGGTCTGCTGCAGATTTGCTCTGTGACTCGGGGCAAGCCGCTTCACACCTCTGTGGTTCTTCTCTCCCCCCACCCCCCCTTTCTCCATCTTGTCTCTTTGGAGTGCCAGCTCTTTGTGGTAGGGTCTCTCACTCTGGGTTTATACAGTGCCTAGTCTCCATTCTGAAAATTCCATAGATTTAGTTTTTTAAAAGCTACACTTTGGGCTAGATTTATACTGACAGTGTAGCCGTCCTTTTCAATAACAGACGGTGCGTGATGCCAAGTGATTGATCCCAAGAACTCAGTGTGGGGGCTATAAGTTTGTTCATGTCTTGCAGTTTTCTGGTGAGAATGGGGAGAGAATGAAGAAAACTTACGGCAAATTCTGCGGGCACCACAACGAGGCTGTAAATTATTTCAAAGACCTGCAGTCAAAAGAGAAGCGGTTTCAGGCATTCATCAAGGTAGGAACTGGTGGGGGATTTGTTGCTGACCCCCGCAGCGTGTGCACACTGCACGTTGGCATGTCTTGGCGAACGCTCCATCGGCAGCATTTTAATTTATGTCTTGTCTTTTTAGAAAAAAATGAGCAGCACGGTGGTGAGGCGCCTGGGGATTCCTGAGTGCATCTTACTAGTAACTCAAAGGATCACAAAGTATCCCGTGATATTACAAAGAATATTACAGTATACCAAAGGTAGAGCCTGTTTCTTTTCCTAACCACGTTTGTTTCCTCTGTATCTTTCTCCAGGACCTTTCCCAGTAAAACTGCCCAACTCAAAATCAGCCAGCCAGCCCAGTGTTTAGTGCCCAGCACTGCTGTAATTAGAGACCTGGGTTTCATTTCCTTCATCAGGGTTTCAAACCTCAGGCTAGACAGGCCTGAGAGTGTTGCAAAGATACAGCACACAGCCTCTGTAGAAGTGAAGTGCCTTGGTATGCTCATCATTACAGCAATCTCTAGCTAATTATGGAGCAACATGCATAGACTCCTGTCTTGTCCACTTTGGATAGTGGCTGCGATACAGGGCCTTGGAGAAGGGGATGGCAAAATAAGGAAGAATAAGATTCTCAGATCTCCAAGAGGATTGACACTCTCCCTTTGAACCTTTCTTCCATCCCAGGAATCCTACATTACCATACTTTTAAATACTGTATTCAAAGAACTTGGCCTCGAATATGAGTCTATATGGGTGATTTGTGATCAAGTGGTTACGGGTGATAAGTCCTCAATCAACTCTCTAGGGTATTTCTCTGTGTCACACAAGCACCTTTCTGATTCTGCATGATCAACCCATCAGGAGTGGCCACGGAATCTTAACACCTGAGGAGATCAGGGGTTATGATGGTAGAAACATGTGGGAGTAGTCTGCATAGCACATGCTTGCGATGTTCCTGGTTTCTCTCAGTCTCTCACTTAGAGAGCAAAAAGGCTCAGTTTACAGTTTAATCTCACCTGCTATCTGCTAGTGCACTCTGTTTAATCTCTCTGGAAGCCTTTTATTAGGTGAGGATGAGGTGTGGTTTATCTGTGCCACTCCATTTAAGATGGAGTAAACTCCAGAGGTGTTTTTTGTATGATTTCACCTACAAAATCCTCTGGAGAGTGATGTATATGTAATGCTTTTTATCAGCGGGTGTGCATCCTACAGATACATCAGCTGACGTAGATTAGCCAAGGAATGGCAGAGACTGACCACTGTGTCTTTATAATCATTAATGTTCTGTAATTCATACCTTTCAAAAGTTTTCAGATATTGTGTTTGTTTCTTATAAAATAAATTTATGTTCAGAAGGGACAATCTTGTTGGCCATTATCCTCCTTATACATAGTCGTCTGTCCCATTGGCGTGGTTTATAGAAGTGTGAGTGAGGGTCTCTGGAGTGTGAAAGAATTTATTTCACAAATGTGTCACTTCATCAAGACCCAAAGAGATGAGAATTTTGCCACTACGAGGGTGGATCATTAATCCAGACCCTTAAAACTTTTATTGCAACTTTACTGAGTGTTCCGAATAGAATCTGGTATTCAAAAATGGCTGCACCTGATTTGCTCGCATAAACAGCTGTATGCACATGCATAATGGATGCATGCCCATTTTTATATATGCAGTCAGGTAGCCATGCACTTGGCAGAGGCTGAAAATGGGGTTCTTATTTACGTTGTCCTAGTTTGCCATAGCTCATGCAGAGTATATTTCCTATGGTTCCCCTTTACTGTATAGGTGTCTATTTAAGGTTTGTGACAAACTTTTCATGTCTTCTAAATGAAACTTGTCTTGGGAAGACAGTTAAAAATAGCGCATCCATGTGCTGTAGCGTTTGATGACTCAGTGGTAAGGGAAAGGGGAGAAGTAAGAAGTTAGGTTCTGCATACTCACAGTAAGGGTGAACTGAAATTGAAGTCTCTCTCTCACTCCTTAAGAAAACGAAGTGGAACATCAAGACTTGACCCAGTCACTAAACCTGGTTAAAGATGTGATTGCTGCGGTCAATAGCAAAGTCAGCAACTATGAAAAGAAAACACGTCTTACTGAGATCTACACCCGGACGGACAGCAAATCCATCATGAGGATGAAGAGCGGCCAGATGTTTGCCAGGGAGGACTTGAGACGTAGGAAACTCATCCGAGATGGGCCTGTCTCACTGAAGCACACAGCTGGGAGACTGAAAGGTGAGAAAATCCTACAGATCATGCACCCAAAGGATGTACCCTTCCTGTCTCCAGATGATGGCAGGGTTCATCCATCTTGCGACCTGCGACTTCATTCCCTTTCCTTTAGCTTGGTGGTTCCTCTGCCTTTTACACAGGGTTTCTTCTGAAATCGCTGGTCCATTTATTATTCATATTATTTTATTGATTTTTCTGTTTCTGGAAAGGTGCTGTCAAAGTAAAAACCATGAAAAATCCTTCCCTGTGCTCCTAGTAACACCCTAGATTACTGCCACAAATATTTCTGTTACTGCTCACCATTGATGCCGCTTGTTTATTTACCTTCCAAGCTTTGCCCAGCAAGCTAAGTGATGGGTGTGATGGTGAATCCCATGTTTGTACACTGCGGTTTCATACCCATCCATTGGCTCTAGGAAATATGCACACTGAATGTGAAACGCAACCATTGCAGTTCCCAGTTTGGCTGCCCAGGAGCAGCACGACATTTCTATTACTCGGAAGTTCCCCAGAGCTGCTCAGCAGACCCAGCATTGCATTACCTGTTACACGGAAGTAAGTCTCCACATTGGGGGCCCGCACTATTTTACTCAGAAATTTCTGAGGCTGCTGCTCCAAACCATTACTGCTTTTCTGTTTCCCGAACGTCCCTGCAACTGTTGTATTCTCTATTACATGCACATTACAGACGAGGCGTAGCCAAATTTACTAGCCCTCCGAGCCGCATACGATAATCTTCAGAAGTTCGAGAGCCAGGCCTGCCTGCTGGGGCTCGGGGCTTCTGCCCTGTGGCTGGGTGGTGGCGCTAGGGGCTTCTGCCCAGCAGGCGCCTCCCTTGGGACAGAAGTCCTGAGCCCCAGCAGGTGCATCCCGGGGACTGAAGCCCCGAGCCCCCACTCTCTGCAGGACAGAAGCCCCATAAAAGAGCCACATGCTGGTTGCTGGAACTCTTGAACTGATTTTCATTCACTAATGTAAGTAAAAGAAATGTTAAGGCATTTAGCCCCCAACTCATCAAAGCATTGGGCTTAATTGCTTTGCTGAACTGGGGCCTGAAATCTTTCAAGTGAACTTTGAGATAGGAATCATGTTAGTCATTCTCTCACCCACAAGCAGAAGCTTGCGAGCTGCCTATGCTGTACTCCACCCCCTTCAGAAACGTTGGGCTTGTTTTCGCTCTCCACCAATATCAGGCGTATAATCTTGGTACTTGGGGCTTCAGTGGAGTTTGGCCATCTTTCTCTGGTGTGTGTAGAACAGATATGATGCATGGAAAGTTACCATGTTATGTTCCAAAGAATGTCTTGTTTGCAGAGATGGAAGTAGAAGGATTTTTACCAGTGCATCCCTCCATAGTCTGTGCCATCGGAGGATAATTTAGATTCCAAATATATGATATGATCTGTTCTGAGGGAAAGTTTAAAGATGGTTTCTAGGTTCCTAGTAGGGCTGTCAAGCGATTAAAAAAATTAATTGTGATTAATCGCGCTGTTAAACAACAATAGAATACCATTTATTTCAAATATTTTTGGATGTTTATTACATTTTCAAATATATAATTTCAATTACAACACAAAATACCAAGTGTATAGTGCTCACTTTATATTTATTTTTGATTACAAATAGTTGCACTGTAAAAAACAAAAAAATAGTATTTTTCAGTTCACTTCATACAAGTCCTGTAGTGCAATCTCTTTATCATGAAAGTTGAACGTACAAATGTAGAATTATGTACAAAAAAACCTGCATTCAAAAATAAAACAATGCAAAACTTTAGAGCCAACAAGTCCGCTCAGTCCTACTTCTTGGTCAGCTAGTCACTCAGACAAACAAGGTTGTTTACAATTTGCAGGAGATAATGCTGCCTGCTTCTTGTGTACAATGTCACCTGAAAGTGAGAACAGGAGTTCACATGGCATTATTGTATCTGGCGTTGTAAGATATTTACGTGCCAGATGCGCTAAAGATTCATATGTCCCTTCATGCTTCAACCACCATTCCAGAGGACATGCATCCATGCAGATGATGGGTTCTGCTTGATAACGATCCAAAGCAAAGCGGACTGACGCATGTTCATTTTCATCATCTGAGTCAGATGCCACCAGCAGAAGGTTGATTTTCTATTTTGGTGGTTTGGGTTCTGTAGTTTCTGCATCTGAGTGTTGCTCTTTTAAGACTTCTGAAAGCATGCTCTAAACCTCATCCCTCTCAGATTTTGGACTGCACTGAGAATAGCAAAATATAAATGACTCTTTCCTCGTTATCACATTTAAATAAAAGTTGGGGAATCAAACTGGTTGAGACAATTTAAACTAAAACAGTTTGGCTAAAATTAAACAGCATTCAGAGTATACAGTTAAAATAAAAGAAATTTGTTTCCCCTACCATTTTCCTCTCTCTATAATTAACACTGCCAGTGCTTCTCTGCTGGATGAACAGTACCACCAAGTTGCTGCAAAATGCTTCAGAGTTAGGGAAAACAGCCTGCTTTCTGCTCAGCTCAGCCTGTCCCAACCCACCGAATGCACATAGGGCAGCTGCTTTGCAAAAGGCTAACTACTTGCCCTCATGAAGTCTGAGTCCAGCAACAGGGAACCTATTGAGCAAACCCAAAACTACCACACCCAATTCCAGAAACTTCTGAGTGTGGAAAGCTAATTGTGACCCAGACACAACTCATTCCTACCCACCCACAATAGATCTCTTAAAGAGATATCTCCCTATTTGGCCTGTGGGTTACACTTTATGAGAACTCTCAATTAGCATAGGTTATATTATGCATTTCCCATAGAAATAATGGCTCCCACTACCAGAGCCAATAGCTAGCCAGTTGAGATGAGTCAGAAGTTCCAGATGGGAAAGCATCCAAAAGTTTAGAACCTGCTTGTCCTAACTTCTGGGATTTGGAACTGGAGCCAGGAGAAACACAGGAATAGCTTTCCTTGACGTATTTTGGTCTTTCCTCCTCTGCACCAAAAGCAGAAAGTGCAGCTGGAAATAAAAACAAACCAAAGTAAAACAAATCTTACCTGAACTTTTACAAACCTCTAAAGAGGTTTGGGTTTGGTTTGAGACTTCGGCAAAAGTTTGGTTCGTATTTGATCTGAAAGGGATCTTGTTCCTTCAAAAAGCCTGGAAGGAATTACGCAGGGGATGAGTTAGCTTTTGAGTTTACCTCATCTGTATATCACAAGGTCTCGTAGTGTATTACACAGAAACTCTTTGTGCGGTGGGGCTTGGGTGGGGCATCGCACTCAATACTTACTATGTAATCTTGTGATGTATCATGAGGCAACTTGGAAGGTAGCATGTGTATTTTGGGGAAATATCCTTGCTCTGATTCAGAATTTTATATTCATCCTCTTTGCATTTCTTTCTTTTCTCCTTCTTGAGTCAGATTCTCCCCTCTGAGGCACACCCGTTTGGCTCCTCATGAATTCAGAGAGAGCCATATACATCTGTGGGCAGAGTCAACATTAGCTGCTGAAGTTAAAGTGCCTGGGGAAGGAATTGCCGCTGACAAGTGTTGTTAAAAGATAATTTGCACCAATCATGAGAGGAGAGCAATAAAACCAAACAGATATTTTGCTTGAGGATAAAAATATAGATTATCTAAATGGATAGGGTGTATGTTCAGTGAACATCCCTTGCTTCCACTTCCCCAATCTTCCATGACTCTCAGAGGGCTTGTGGTTTGGAAAAGAACATCCCAGCAAAGACCGAGTAGATACGATTCCCTCCAACTCCTTTCAGTGGTGATTTTACATTGCCCAGAGGAGTCGCTATAGAGATAGAGGCCATTCTCTTTCCAGAGGCTGAGTATATTGCCTCTGCAATGCTTACAGTTCCTACTAACTAGGAAGCAAAACACACCAAACAGCAGACTAATCCACTTTCTTAGGGTAGCCCGAATTATCACTCTTATGCTCACCAGGAGCTCTAGAATGCATGGCATTGCTAAATAAAAGGTATTGGTAGGCACTAGAACCAGTGATTGACATAGATAGATATTTGATGGTTAAACCTTGGTGTTTTTTCTCTGTTGTAGAGGTCCAGGCTGTCCTCCTCTCAGATATGCTGATATTTCTTCAGGAAAAGGACCAGAAGTATGTCTTTGCCTCATTGGTAAGGCTTTGGTGTTTTCTCTTCCTTTCTTTTACATAGATGATCCGTGGTATGAATTTAGCAATGAAAGCATTTCACTGCCTGCTACATTCCTTAGTTTTTATTGGACAGGTCGCTTTGCATGTAACAGTTCTGTTTCCTTAGCAGACTCCATTATTTTCTATTGAAAACATGTCTTAATTTCCCCCCTCCCACTCGGTGATTTCTACAGTGATTTTGAACATTTGGTAATTGGCTCTGAAAATAAGCCTGTCATTGGATACATTTATTCTTCATCAGCCTGTGCAAATCCTGCTCACTTAGGAGGGAAGAATGTGAACTGTGTACAAATGAATCCCAGCAGACAAGACAGACCTAATAAATCAATCTAAAAAGCAAAAAGCACAGGAATAAAAGCCTACTGCTGCAATAAAGTTCGAGAAGCTCACAAGGCAGTATGCTATAGGAATATATTTGTCATGGACCAGTTCATGTAAACAAAAACAGGAGCTTTCAGAGAAAGTCCTAGATGAAAGAGACAGACGATGAGACATGCTGACCTGATGGGAAAAAAAATGCCAGTGCCCCCAAACTAGTGAATAGCTACGGGTCTGGCAGGGATGCATCTTTCATACATGCTTCAAAGAGGAGACTTTCTCTGTTCCTCTTGTTCTTCCCATTCACTGAGCCACATTTCCAAACCCCCCGCTGCCAGCGCAGGGCATTTCCTAACTCTTCAGCTGGCTGTGGTGCACACAAGGGTCATGCTGGCAAACCTCTGCTAAAGCACACCCCCTCCCAAAAAAAACCAAACCCTGTGGTTCTGTAAAGACCACAAATGAGCCCATTGGACTATGCATGCCACAGGTGGGAAGAGAAGCTTTCAGTGCTAACAGAGAGATTACACAGAGATCTTACAGTGACCCTAACAGCTCATTGCACATAATCTTCCGTGGAATCCTTGATGCAACAGTCTCACACAAACGTCCGTAGCGGGAGTCGGCTTTAAGCTACAGAGAACAGGAAGGATTTTGGTGAGATGTGAAGAGAGGATGTGATGCAAGGGTTCCGAGGGAGGGAGAGCAAAGGCAGTGACAGTGAAACAGGGACCAGCAAGCCATACCGAAAGTGGTGATGTGGGATAAAGAGTCCAGGAATAGAGAGCACAGACAGCAGGATGTGAGATCAAAGCAAGTTCTTGGAGAGTCTGGAAAACCACAAAGGCAATTTTTAATTGTATCCAGGGACAGCTGAGGGCAGTTCTTCCTGAATAGTCAGAGAAAGGTGACACCAGCGTTCTGGGCTCAGTGAAATAAATTACTCTCAGAATATACATGTCGGGTGAGGCCAGCACTTCTTTTGTCATGTAGTTGCTAAAGGTGCTCATGAGTAGGAAGGAGGTGTGACTGCAGGTATTAGGAGCTTTTGAGCACTTATTGTCAGCCTAAAGCTTTGGTGCTTTTTGTCTGTCTTCTCACCAATCTTCTCTCATCTGAAGGACCAGAGATCCACTGTAATCTCTCTGAAGAAACTGATTGTACGAGAAGTGGCCCATGAGGAAAAGGGTTTATTCCTAATTACCACCGTAGTGAAAGATCCAGAGATGGTAGAAGTCCATGCCAGCTCCAAGGAGGAACGCAATAGCTGGATACAAATAATTCAGGACACAATTAACACCATGTAAGTTAACACGCTATTCGTTTGGTTTAGATGTTTCTCACATGCTTTGTCATGGTAGTAATTGAGGTGTATCTCTCATGCAGGGACAAAGACGAAGATGAAGGAATCCCTAGTGAATCAGAACTGGAAAAGAGAGTGTTGGACACCAAAGCCAGAGAATTAAAAGGTAAGGCTGCTGGGGCTCAGAGAATCGTCGAGTGAAGTTTTGGTAACCTAATGTTGAGTTTTGTGAAACTTTTCCATTCCTGATTTTAACCATGATTTTTCACAGAAGATAGAAGCCTGCACTTTGCAAACAATTAAAATCCTTGTTTGAAAGTCAGTCTGTCGTGGGTTGTAAGTCTGCCAGGGGCCAGTACCATGGAAAGCTCTGAATCTCCAAAGTTTCAAATTCTGGTCCAAATCTAGAGCCCCCAGTTTTCAGTTGGGCTTGAAAGTTGACAGAATGAGTTCTCCCCTCCTCATTGGGACTAAAACAGAACTGCAGCGGAAGTGAAACAACAACGTGCCCTTCAGTACAGGGAGATGACTTCCCATGGGGTGATGGTCTCCACTGGTGCCTTCAGAAAAGGCTCTTATAACTCTGATGCAGTACATGTGAGGCACAGGCAGATAGTTGATATGTCAGGTACTCTACTTCTCTTTTGCCTCTATTAGTCAATAGTTCTAGTTCTTTTCAGGTGCCAGCGGCTTTCAGCTGTGAAGAAAATGAATTTTGTGGGCTAGACCAGCATGGTCTAGGAGTGGCAAGATGTTTGGGAGAGGATTAGGGTTTGGGTCCCCGTCTCTCAGCCCCTAGATGTACAGAGAGAGCTGCTGCTGTAATCTCCACCAGCCGGGGCTTGGAGCTACATTCACTGGTTCTTCAGAGAGCCCTCCTCACTAGGGGATTGACCCAACATTAAGGGTGTTTTGGTTGTGGAAAGAGGAGTAAAGAGTGAAGAAAGATACCTATTCAGTACTGTCTCCTCTGCTGCATCATGGGTCGAGCAGATAATATGTGGCTTTGCAAGTCTCGCTAGCACAGTTACTTTACTGCACTGTAAAAGCTAAGATGCCATTCAGGTGGGAGCATTGTCACAGGATAGCTGTTTCCTGCTAACAGATAACTACTGTCCCCAGGATGAGATGTGTCGTTTTGAAGCAGGCGCCTTCTGGGACAGAGCTCTGCTGTGCTGACTTTATTTCTGAGACACCAAATGGCCAACGTAGCTGCAGAAATTCTGTTTGCTGGCTGTAGTTGCAGCACAGGTGCAGGGGTGTGTATTTAAATGCGAAGTAAAAAAGCCAACAAGCAGGGCAGAGAGCACAAGGGTGCCCGATCCTGGATTAATGCAAGTACTGCAGCATGGCTGGCAAGTTACTCCTGCCTACGAGTAGACGTGAGGCCAAAGAAATGAGTGCGAAGCATAGTGCCTTGGTACCACAAAGAGGAGGACTGTGCCTAGTGCCTACCTATGTTTTCACCCTCAAGTAGCTTCCCCTCAGGTCTGAGATGTAAAAAAAGGTCAAAAGCCAAGTGAATACAATCACCTGGGAAGTGCAGTGATCCTCTAGGACTGTTATCCTGCAGTGTTTGCACCATTGTGTGTATGAATTTATATTGAAAACTGAGCATTGAGCAGCCTGCGTACTAGAAATGCGATATTGCTGAGAACCCCAGCTCTCTGGGGGTTCGGAAATGTTTCATTGTGGGCATTAGCCCCAAACCGTTTAGAATGTGTTATTTTTTTACTGGTGATTGACTCTGGTATTTGCTGCTTAGAGTAAATATGGTCACACTGTGTCTAAACCTAGATGGTCTGAAATGAGGTTATGACCCCCAGCGTGTCTCAAATGCATCTGTGAGAGTGACACCTCATCGATCTGCATTACATTCATGCCTCCCAACTTCATTTGGAGAAACAAAGTTTGACTCCATGGGGACTGCTCCTTGTGAGAGCATATAGCTAGGCTTGGAAGGAGTCATTTTTTATTGGTGAATGTTGGTAAATGTCCATGTCACTCTACACACACCCAAAAAATTGTCCATCAATAAACATCTAAATCTGCAGCTAGGTGAAGTAAGGAAAGTGCTGCTTGAGAACTTAGAGTTTGATTTGAAGATATTTACTTTGTATATTTTCGACATGTGATGTTGACAATTTGTGTTTTAATGGTTATAAAGCGTCAACTTTTTGAATCTCATCATCTACTGTCATTAAATAATTCTCTGACACTCCCTATTGTCTGACACTGCTCCCCCGCCCCCCGGTAACTTCCTGCAACAGTGAAAATTTAAATCAATAAAAATGGGAAAAGCCCTAATTTCCTGCAACTGTATACATTTAAATAGATGAAAATTGAAAAAAAAAATGCTTAAAAATAAGTGTTGATATTATCCATCAAAATTATAAAAAAAAAAATAAAAGTCTGCCAAGCCTGCTTATACACTCCAGTATCCTGGCACCAACATGGCAGCGACAACACTGAAAGGCCTAAATGTAGCTATTCAGATTGTAAGCAGCACACAATTCCTGCTATTCTTTGATTTACCACATGATGGGGCCCATGTCACAGGGATTATTCGGTTTCCTTAGGGTCGCAGTGTTTTCTGTTTTAAATTTGTTTTCCCCTGGTCACCCACAGAACAGCTTCAGCAGAAAGATCAGCAGATCCTAGCGCTGCTGGAGGAAAAGGAGAAGATTTTCCGGGATATCACGGACTGTAGCATGCAAGAGGATGGCTCGGTCTCCAGAGTGCTGTTCAGGTCCAATACGGAGGAGGCACAAAAAGGGGAGACCATTATGAAAAGTGCAATAAACGAGGGTAAACAAACCAAACGGTCCCATTAATTACAGTGTCCAAAACAACAGTGTGGGGTTGAATCCATGAGTGCTCAAATGCCACCTTCAGGAGAATGACCCTTCTCTGATAATGAATAAACAGTAATAATAATATTGAACATAAGGAAAGACAAAGTCCCATCCCCCGATAGTAAAGCATGGGAGACAGACAAGGCTCACAAATTCAGGAAAGGAAGGGGATGATAATGATCGGTGAGAAGAAAGCAGTAGAAGTATCTGGGAGTCTTCATGCTGCTAACCTAGTACGGGGAGCCAACCCTACACAGAGTTTGAGCTGTGTCAGGGCAGTGCAAAAATGAACTTTCATCCCGTTGCCCACCACACACTGGTCTGTGTTCTGTGCGACTCAGTTACACCCCCGGATCTGGTCCTTTGTTTGAAACATGGGCCAGGCTATCTTTGGTTACACTCCCCTCCTGGCACATAATGGAATATGACGGCTAGGCTAAACGGACTTCCATACCACAGCAAGAGTCTATGGGTCTGGTATCCACAAGAGGCACTTGAGTCTTTTGGAAAATCCACAAGTAGATGTAGCCCACTTTCCCTTAGTAAATTACACAGCAGGCTGAAGTTAGAAATCCTGCCTTTGCGCAAGAATGTACCAAGAACATTTGCCAAGGGGGAAGAGGGTGATGGGAAGCACGTGCAAGACTCAGTGTGTTTGAGTTATGGCCTGACGTACCATTATATTTTTGCAGGTGGAGCACCTGCACCTCTCTTATTCCATCATGGTCTCCTATAAATCCATTAACTCTTTATACAAACAAGTGTGTACATTTTACTGACCTGACACCTCTAAGCCAGAAGAAAAAACACGCTAGTCAGTAAATACCGAGGATATTTTTTAATGGACCTTTTTTTCCTATGGCTTTTTATCCTTTCAGTTGAATATTTGCAAAGCTTGATCAGTAGAAGTCTAGGGAGTGCACTTGGGGCTGCTGACCTGCTGCCAAACTCTGAGCAAGAAGGGGGAGTCGGCCCCATCTCCCTTCCTAGAAGAGCAGAAACTTTTGGAGGATTTGACAGTCATCAGATGAATGCATCCAAGTGTAAGTATTTCTGTGCATTGTGCATGCATGTATGTATGTATTAATAATACCTTATACCTGGTTGGCAGCTACCTGACAAGGAACTCAAAGCACTTATATATCTAAATGAATTTAGCTTCCCAACCCTCCCTGTCAGATTGGTAAATACCACTGTACCCATTTGACAGATGGGGAAGGTGCAGCATATAATCGTGGGATGACTTGGCCCAGGTTACTGGAAGTCGATGACTGAGCGGGGAATAGATGCCAGCTCTCCTGACTTCTAGTCCTGTGCTTTCCCCTCAAACCATCCTTCCTTCTTTACACACAAAGTACTTGTACACTTTTGCCTTACTTATGTATTTGTTTCTTTCACTTCCGCTTCAGTGCTTCTATATTTGCAGCCCTCTTCCTTTATCTCCAGTGGGCTACCACCTCCCAGCCTGAGAGCCAACTGAGGTCCTAGCTGCAGTCTGACACCACCTTTCCTTCTCCCTCCCTGCGCTCTCTGCACACATGTGAACCGAACACAATCGAGCATGTCAACCCCACGGTGAATTTAGTCTCCCACAGCCGAACGAATGAGTAGTTAGTTTGGCAGCACAGTTCACTGCTTCCCAACTCGCTGTTTGTCTACAGCAGGCTCCAGGGATTTCCATACCCCCCAGAACTCAGCCCTGTGTGCTCTCTCCTACCCTCCCACCCCAACTGTGGTAAGCTGTGCTATGCTAGCATCACTGTCTCAGCACCGGGCTCCCCCACCCCCTTTCCAGCCTTGCTGTTTCTGCACTACAGGGTAAGCTTAAGCGCCAAACAATCTGCTGTGTGCCGTATGTAAGAGTTTCTTAGCCATTGGAAGGCCGCAAAGTTCCCAGCAGGTCCTGTCCTAACAATGGAAAATGCATTGGCTCAAGGAACCTTAGGGATTTTGTTTAGATTGCACTTTCTTGCTTTTTAGTGCAGCAATAATTTGAACAGTCTCTGGCTGGACTGGTGAGATTGTTCACTGCTTAGCCCACCCTTTACCTTGCCTGGGCTTCTGCAGAGATAGGCTCACATGAATTAGATACTGAGAGATCTTGAAGAGGCTTTGGGAGGAGACTGTAGGGCCTACTGGATAAGGTGCATGGCTGGGTGTCAGGAAACCTGGGTTCTATTCCCAACTCTGCCACTCACTCCCTGTGTGACCTTGGGCAAGCCTCATAACCTTATTTCCCTATCTGTAAAATAGTAGTAAATGATCCTTTACCCATCTACATAGAGGAGAGTGGCAGATTCTAGGACCCTCCAAAGGAATGAAAGGATTGCTGGGATAGATAGCATAGGCTGCGGTTTAGGGTTGGTGGTTATTTGTTTGAGTTACCAGTAAAGCCAGACTCCAGGAAGGGGCTACGGTTGGACTGCATGTGGTGTGCTGTAGGCTGTTCAAAGCAGGGTTGGATGCTTATACCATGTTGGTAAAGCACCTTGAAATCAATGGAAGAAAACTACTAGAGGAGTAGCATGGGCACAGGTGGATTTTTTCACGTGGTGTCTCACAATTGGAAGCACTCTTGTGAGCTGTCCAGCTTGAAATTAAAGATCCCAGTGGATAAATCGAGTGTCCTGATCAAAATTCCGGGGTTCTAATGTGCGAGGCTGTGGGTGAGCTGCTAGCATAAAATAACGTACCTGTTTGCACACGTATACTGCACTACTAGTGTCTGAGTCCTCCAAGTCCAGTTTGCATGGGTAGCATTGACACATAGCTTGATGTAGTAAGATCTGACTTGATAGTTGTCACTCACACTACATGTTCTAAAACAACTTGTCTTGGAAACAGTTTATGGAATTGAGAGATTTCTAACAGATGACCCAGAAGTCAGCTTACTAAATTTTCAGTATACTATTTGAAACCAAAGCTGGTCCCTAACCTATGTTCTTCTCCACTCTCTGTCAGCAATGGCTGATATTATTGGTACAAATAGGAAGCAAACATACATATGTGAAGAGCATGGCTCAGCGGCGTGCATCCACTTTTCAAGTCCTTTTTTCCCATTTTACAATTGCTAATGACTGAGGATTTTATCTGGGGTTTGAAAAACTCAATGACCTGTGCCAACTTGATGTGTTTCTTTTAGGTGGAGAGAAAGATGAAGCTGATGATGCTCAGGATCTTCGGAGAACAGAATCAGACAGCATTTTGAAGAAGGTACTATTGTTGTGTTTGTGTCAAATGTCATCCATGGGCCTTTGACACTTTTAACACTTGAATTGTAACTTTTTTTAAATCTGAAAAAAGCATATATTTATGGGCATATTAGATCAAGTTAAAACTCACCCCACTGGGGAAAAAAACTGGGGGCACATGCTCAAAACCAATTTTACGCTAACTAAAATTTCCTCTCTAAAACAATTTTACTGGGTAATAGACTCTTCCGTAGCACTGGTTGTCTGCCATCTGTCTGCAAATCAAGTAAAACATGTCTAATTATGCATCGTTATTGAAATACCAAGGCCAAACATAACCTCACACCCATTCTCGCTGTGGATGAATTTATCAAATCACTACAAAATGATCGCTAATTAACATTTGATTTTATGATTTTTCACTTACTACAAACTACATGAGTTCTGCCCTTCCAAAAAGGAAAACAGGAGTATGTGTCTATGATTAATCGTACTTAGAAAGACACTTCCTGTGATTTGTCATTTGCCTTTTTATTAAATATATGTGTTCTTTTTACAGGGGGGAAATGCTAATTTGATGTTCGTGTTGAAAAGAAACAACGAGGTAAGAACAATCTCCCTGGCTTACTTGTGTGGTGTTTTTTCCTCTTCAGTTTAGGTACCAAGTGTATTTGTTTCAATAGGTGAGGCTAAAGTGTAACAAGACTCTTAAATGCAGTAAACTGAGAGTTAAACCCACTGTGTTATGTGTGCGCTTAGGCTTGGATGCTCAGACTAAGGATTTGCTGACTGGCATCTAATTGCCAGCCGTAGGATACACGTTGATTATAGACATCAAGGTTTAATTACAATTAGAAAGCACGTGACTCTATTTACCATGCATCTGCGGATAGAATGAGTATAATTGTATGATGCAGGTGCAGTGAGTTGGGGCAATTAGGTTTCTATTCTCCCTTTGATACGCTTCGGTAACTCCCAATTAACTCTAATGGCAGCTAAGTATCACAGTGAGCAAAGGTTCCCTTAATAACATTTATTACACACGTATTGGAAATACTGCAGTTTTTGTCAATTGAATTTTTGTATTAAAGGAGTAATTACAATATGTTCAGCAGGATTGAAAGAAGCACTTAGCCGGTGTTTTGAGATACGGGAAGTCACCCAAAGCATCAGACATTCTGTTGGCACTATACCAGTATATGATATTGGAGCGCTTGCCTTTAAGGACTGTATTTTCAAATTGGCCTCCAATAATACTCATGCGGCATTTGTGTGCCCGTTATTTTGCAGAGTCTCCCTGCACCATAAATGCAGGGGGTTGCATTTGTGAACAGACATGACAGGCACACATTCTGGGCCATTTTATGATTTTTACCGCAACAGTTGTTTCCCTGCAAATTTGAAAATATGGTCAGTTCATTCCAGTTCCTTTCCCTCCCTGTATCATTCTCCCTAGCATCATTAGCTCTTCAACCTGTTGATACAACAGGAAATAGTTTAAAGCAGGGATCGGCAACCTTTGGCACGCGGCCCGTCACGGAAAGCCGCTGACGGGACGAGACGGTTTGTTTACCTGCAGCGTCTGCCGGTTCGGCCGATCGCGGCTCTCACTGGCCACAGTTCGCCGTCCCAGGCCAATGCGGGCTGCGGGAAGGGCGGCCAGCACATCCCTCGGCCCACGCCGCTTCCCGCAGCCCCCATTGGCCTGGGACAGTGAACTATGACCAGTGGGAGCTGCGATCGGCCGAACCTGCGGATGCTGCAGGTAAAGAAACCGGCCCAGCCCGCCAGCGGATTTCCCTGACGGGCCGCGTGCCAAAGGTTGCCGATCCCTGGTTTAAAGAAACAATGTGCAAATTCCTGTGAGGTATCAACAATACCATGGTTCTGTGCATGATTCACGCACCTTGTTGTGAGAGTATGTGCACGCCATGGTCAGGTTCTTTCAATGACTGGTCGCTGCACTGATCGCTGAGGAAGGCCAGGGTGAGATTATCTTAGATGTCTCTGAGATGCCCGAGAGAAATGGATGGCTAAATAGATACCTGTGACCAGTACGTGTGTTTGGGATAAGTAAGTACAGGGAAGAGAGCATGGGAAGAGTCAGGGGAAGTAGAAGGATGTCTGTGTGGCTTTAAATAAAATGGCATGGCTTTGTAAGCCTCATTGCTAAGGCTATGATTTAATCAGGGGTATTTTTTGTAAAAGTCATGGACAAGTCACCGGCAAGAAACAAAAAATCACCGCCCGTGACCTGTCCATGACTTATACCATAAATATCCCTGATTAAGTCTTTGGGTCGGCGAGCACCACTGGGGTGGGGGGAGGGAGCCTGTGGCACCAGCTGCCGGGAGGGTGGAGGGAGTCCTGTGGGGCCCGCTGCCAGGTGGGGAGAACCCCAGGGGGCCAGGAGCTGCTCCAGACACCCCGGGACCGCTGCTCAGGTGGTCCCCTGGGCCAGCCGCATCTGCCACTGCTTGGGCGGCCCCTGGGGCCAGCTGGACAGGGCCGCCAGAGCAGTGGCTGGCCCTGGGGCCACTCCAGCAGCAGCTGGCTCCAGAGTCGCTCCAGCATCGGCTGCTGTGGCTGTCCCCAAGGCTGCCTGAGTAGCTGAGCACGGGGCCAGTTGCTTGGGCAGCCACACTGCAGAAGTCCTGGAGGTCACAGGAAATAATGGAATCAGTGACTTCCGCGACCTCCATGACAAACACAGAGCCCTCCTCATTGGTAGTTAGAATGTAAAAGACAAGGGCTTTGCCTGTGGTCAGACAGGAAGGTGAGGTAGAACAGCAACACTCTTGTGCTTTTGTTTCCTTGCAGCATGTTCTCCAAAGCATTACCTACCTCCACAACCTGCTCAGCACTCTGCAGGTAGGTCAGCCGTAAACATAGTACCCTGCTTGGACGTGCTTCTTTCCCAAACAGCAGGTCTCCTCCGTGAGTGTTGACTGCGGTGAGGTCAGCATTTCACCCCCCACCCTTTGCATTGCCCGTCCAGAGTGAGACTGAAGGGTCCAGTTCAGTGTCCTAGTGACTCTGTACTGGCATGTGGGAGTACTGTCTCCTGGTCTCTTGCTGCCCAGGCCAGCAGGGGCTACAAGTGCTCTGCAGATCAGGCCTACCCTGTGTCTTACAAATAAGTACCTCAAATAAACCAGCCCTACTGGACCCTCTAGGTTAACAATGATCAATGAACCCTCCCCCACCCCATACTACAATTGCAAGGTGCCTCATGATGTTAGAGTTACTGCATGTCTGTGCATTCCATGAAGGGAGGCACGACACTGACTTTGTCCTTGCCTCTCCCCTCAGGGAGTCGTGTTGCAGCAGGATACTTATATTGAGGATCAGAAGCTGGTTCTCAGTGAGAGAGCGCTGACACGGAGCTCCTCCCGGCCAAACTCCTTGATCGAGCAGGAGAAACAGCGGAGCCTGGAGAAGCAGCGCCAGGAGCTGGCCAACTTGCAGAAGCAGCAGGCTCAGCACCAGGAGGAGAAGCGGAGGAGAGAGAAGGAGTGGGAGGCCCGGGAGAAGGAGCTGACCGAGCGGGAAGTGCGGCTCGCCCAGCGAGAGGAGCAGGCACAGAAGGGGTACCGGGATCTGGAAAGGGAGAGGGAAGAGCTGAAGCTGAAGAAAGAAGCCTACCAGCTGGATCTGGAGCGGCTGCGAGCAGCACAGAAACAACTGGAGAGGGAGAAGGAGCAGCTCAAGAGAGATGTGGAGCGATTACCCCCAGTGCAGACGGAGCCTGACCTCAGACAGGTAATCACTCTGCTCCCAGTTGAGTTCTCAGCCAGCGCACATGGCTGGGGTGACAAGATGTCTCCTAAAAGAGGAGATCTAGTTGAGTCACAATTGATGGGCTCGGTACTGGAATTACCAGGGGAGGTTCTGTGGCCCATGTGATGCAGGAGGTCAGACTAGGTGTGAAATCTAGAAGCTGTGGCGCTGATATGTGGGGCCTGATTTCTACCAGTGGCATCTCTTTTTGCACCTGATGTTTGGGGCTATGTTTTGCCTGTTATGTCTCAGAAGGCTGCAGGGTGAGACATCTAGCAAAAGACGTTCCTCAGAGTGTTGTGGAATCAAGATTCCTAGCAGGTCCTGCTGGGTATGTGAAATCATAGTGTGTCTTTTGTCTTTCTAGTGGGGCTCATCTGTGAATGTATCTGTGTTTAGCCAGCTTGTTTTGAGACGTTCCTCACTGGTCTGATAGCAAATGGCAGGGAAGAGCATATACAGGGATGCTGAGGGGGAAATCACTGGTGCGTTTCACTTCGGCCTTTTCACACCGTTTTTGTTCACCTGTGAGGAACGTACAGGCAAGCACAGATTGGTTCCATATGCAGTCAGTCCATTAGTCTGGAACACACTGTTGGGCTGACTACACCCCTCAGCATTCACAGAAGCAGCTTGGTGGTGACAAGTTTGGTGCTGATCAGCTCCCCCAGTATAAGCCTTGCGACTACATTGCTAGGCCTTAGTATTTATATATGTGAACTAGCACCCAGAAGTGTGGTTTCCCTATACCTCCCTTGTGGTCAATTATTTACGCAGTGTTGCCAAACAGCTAGCTGGACGTGTCCCTGCGCTCAAGACTCACGGTCTAGCATATAGACACAACAGAGCAAGCGGGGGTGGGAACAGAGCAGAGGGGCTTGGGATAGAGCTGTACAGAGTTACAGCTCCATGCAGGGACCGCGTACACTTCTTAGAGAGCTGAGGTTTATTTTCTGTTTTGAAGCTGTAGTTACTTCTGCTGCAAAGAAGGGAACTAAATCATCAGAAGGGGTCTGGATGAGGGAAAGATTGCCTAGTTCATACAGATATGTGCAGAACTCTGATTTCAGGCCTGGAGCAGATCTTTAATTAAGACACAGAATTAATTCTATAACAAAATGTAATTTGTTTTGGGCTGAAGAAGAAGTGTTGTCATGCATTCAGGGAGAAGAAACAGCACCATGTGACTTAATAGACCAGTCGTTTATCTCCAACAGTAAATTCTGAATAGCAGGTAATCAGAGGAATACCTCCAGTTTCCTGAGCAGCCCAGGGGCTGACATTTCTTCATGCAATTTTGAATAATGAACAAGGCCCTATGAATTGTGATCTATTTGAGAGCAGATAAACATGCCACGTTCTGCAAATAAGTTGTATGCATTATTACGTAGATCTTACTTACTTGCAGGAAGCTCAGATAATCTGGCCAGGGCTGCTATAGGAACACCTGAGAGAAAACACTGCTGAAGACCAGTAAGATGCCAGGGTCATCAAAAGGAAGCAACTTCTTGGAGGCACGCATCATCCACAACATGTCAAAGCTATTAATAGGGACGTTTGATGGAGCATGTAGGGATAGGAATTCATGTCTTAACTCCCCCCCGCACCTTCCGCTTTAAATACATTGGGTTCAGTTATGTTGCTGGAGGACACATTAGAAAAGCAGTACAATATTTTGCCTTGTCTTTTATACTTAGGAAGATTCCACTTGTCGTCATGCATCAGTACATCCTACAACATTCTCTTCCCTAAGAAGCTCCCATGGCTTCTACCACCATCTGCATCTGGGAGGAGGAAGGAGGCTGGGTTTCCTAGATTTTTAAAGAGGACTCGTCCATAGGTGGTTGTGCCACCATCTGTATCTGGAAAGGAGTGGAAGGGTTCATCTTTAAAATCTTTGTCTCTTCCCCCTTGGACAGAGAGGGCTGCCTCTGGGTGTTTGGCTTTTGTTAGGAGAAAATGTCCATTTGACTGGGAGATGACTTTTGGGTGGTGATTATAGGTGGCGTGCAGGGCAACAGACTGTCCCTGGCAGCGGTCATGGTAATATTACCCTCCCCATGATTTTGAGCCGTGCCTGCTTCTGCCAGTAAAACACTTCTGTTCTCTTCTTTGCAGGTTTCAAACCCCCATGATAAAACGGTGAGGATCCCCTCCCAGCCCACCGCTGAGGACTCCAAGCAGCACAGTTCTTCCCTTCCCAAACAGGGGCACTTTGATGCAGGACTGTCTGTGTCGCCCAAAAGGAACAGTCTCTCAAGGACACACAAAGAGAAAGGCACTTTCCACTTGCTTAGCGCAACGAACCAGACTAACAAGGCAGCTGAGGTGCAGCAGCCCACCCGCCTCTTCGGTTTATCCAAGCCAAAGGACAAGAAGGACAAGAAGAAAAAGGGCAAAGGACACCGCTCCCAACCTGCTGGTGAGTGTCAGACGGGGCCCGAGGAGATCTTTAGGGGTTAGCGAGCTTGCAGCTGTCTGTGGCTGTTTAATCTCATGCAGCCCAAAGGGGTGGGTTATAACTGAGCGAGGGGTGGAGAAAAACGGAGGTTGTGAGCGGATTTTCCAGCAGAAGGTGAGTTTGGGAGGGAGAGGCGTTGTCCCATGCATGCAGAGAACAGACGTAACGACATTTTCTGATTTATTTTTTGTTTGTTTGTTTTTTAATCTTTCCCCCGGTCTCTTCTATATGGCATTGTTGCTGCTCTCCAGGGCTTCAATATGGGAGCACCTTTTCTGCAGCCATGGGACGCCCAGCCTGATGGGTTGCATCCTGTCAGCAGATGGCCAGGGGGCGCTCAATGCTCCCTTCTCCCTCCTTTCTCCCAACCTAACCCAGGTGGCTTCATAGCTTGGGATCTCCTTATATTTTTCTGTTTCTTTTGTACAATCCATGTTTATGCAGGGGAGGTGCTGATAAACACTGCCTGGAGCCAGGGCTAGGTTTTAGGAAAACTTTTGAAACTTGTGCTTATGTCCATGAAATCTTCTCTTGCAATGCCCACTGCCGTTCGAGTCCCTTCCTCCCTTTTCTGTCAGTGCACCTGTAGCACCCCTTGCTAGTCCGGTTGCCTCTCCTCCCCCTCTGAGCTTATGCACATCACTCCTGACCTGCCAGTGTAAAGTGATACAGTCGTTTCCACATGTGGATTTATATTAGCCGGAGACTAGCTTGTGAGCCTCAAACCTATCATACTTATGACCCAGGGCAAATTGGAACCCAGCACCTCAGGGATGAGAGGCTGCTAGTAGATTACAGGAATTTTCCTGCACACCAGTCACACAATCATGGGACTGGTGGGTCTAGCAACTAAAAGGTGTATTTTAAATGCCAACCACCCAGAAAGGTTGTCATGTGCTTAGGAATGGGACAGTGGGTGGTAGGCAGTGTTTGTTTTAACATAGACCCTTTCCTTGCCTGTTCCTTCTGGTGATGATTCATGGCTGACTTTCCTTTCCCAGATGCTCATTCATCAGAAGCACCACCAGATGGCGAGGAGATCTTCTGCTGAATGTCTGCTCCTAATTCTGCAGGGATGAGCCTCCCTCTCCACTGTACTGTGTTAGAAGCTGTACATGCATCTGATGGGGCCAAAGCATGAGCAGCTCTCCCTCTGCACATCAGTCATTCTCAGCCTTTGTACAGTGGAAACCTCCCCGCCCACATTTTGCAGCACGCTCCTGCACCCCACCAGCTATCTGTGTGTTAAATAAAACGTTTGTAAAGGCTGCACATGGTGGGAAAAGGGCTCTGTCCTGCGGTTTTTTATGAATTCTGGCTGCAGAGGCTGACCACACTGCAAACAGCACCCACTCCGGGTGCAAATCTTGGTTGAAAGTAGGAATAGATGTTCCCAGTCTCCTCTTACTGCTAAAGGATGAAAGACTATTGCCCAAAGGGTCTGTGCCTCCAAATTCTCCTTCTCTGGGGAATACAACCAAAACCAAGCATTTAGCAAAAGGCCAGGACTCTGAAAATGGTGCGTACACACTGGCATATAGATATACTATATATATATATGTAAGTGTCTATGTATTCACTGGGATATACTTACAGTCTGTACAGACAAGCTGGGTTAGCTTAGCTCGGCCCAATGATACCTGATGACTTTCAGGGAGCATGTAGATATTAAATATCTTAGCCTTAATGCTCAGAGTGTATCTTTATTGGCCCTCATGCCCCTTCCAAGCACATTGTATGTTACATGCTTCATTTCAGAAAGGTACCAAACACTAGGCAGCAGCAACAGTGTAAAAAAAAAAAATACAATCAAACGTTACTCCCAAAGGATTTCTTTGGGGCAGAGGAATTAAAATTTAATCCATTTGGAGCACCAAACAAAATGTCTTTGGATGTGTTAAAAACACAATCCAGAAAGGAAAAAGGATGCTGTACTTGTGAAGTAATCCCAGGAAGCCAGAACAGACCGTGTTCAAGTGACAACTGCTTTTTAATGTGTGTGAGTTACAGTCTATTCCCTCCTCTTCCAGAGCAAGGCTTTCTTTGTCAGATTACGTTTCTCCGGCAAGATGTCATTTGGGATCAACACTGTCTTGTTACAAATTCACTGTCCCATCATAAAAACCCATGAGAACCTTCCATTCGGGAATCACTTTTTTTAACCTACTGCCTGTGATTTTCTTCCCCTGGCGTTTCTTAGTGATGCCATCTGTATGATCACTGGGCTTCTGTTTCTCCAGATTCCGTCAGCTCGTATAGCTCATTTCTAACCCAAAGCAACTTCATAGCAATTTCCAGAGCACTCAAACAAGATGGCAGAGGTTGTAACCTGAGGTGGGGAATAACTTGTGTGAACAGATGAACAGGAAGGAACATAAAGCCTAGTATTTATGCACGTACAGTCCTGTGTGCTTACATACACTTACTGGGGAGACAGTGTCCCCTAATGGGCTGAACGTTCAGGAGGCCAGAGTCCTGCTCCCAGTACCATCATTGACTCACTGTGTGCAAGTCTCCTAGCCGCTCTTTGCCTCAGTTTCTCCATCTGCAAAATTGGGATCATAATCATTCCCTGTGAGAATTAGCAGATGTGCCCCCAATGCATTCACGATGCAAGGTGTTATACAAATGCTAAGTACGGTGGTAATGTGTGAAGACCAAGGGAGATACATGCACAAAGCTGAATTGTTTCTAAATTCTGTTCTTTCCACACACCTCAGGAGATTTGCCTAAGCAGATTTGTAAATGTCATGAGACTCTATCCACTTTGATCCCTTGAGCAGTTTGAAGCTGTTGTGGTCATTTCTTTTCCCACAGATTCTCCTTTTTAAAAAAAAATTTGCACTATGTTTTGATTCTTATTTGCTTTATATCTCCTCACATGCTAGTTACATGCAGTAGATTTCAGAATTCAGTGCTAGCCTTTTTAATAACGAGCAACAGCAACATGGGTGCTTAGATTGGTCTGTCTGGATCAGTGGACTCCTGAATAGCCTGCTTGCTTTTGAAGCTCTCTAAACAATTCATACTCAAAAAACAAAACAAAAAAAAAGAAGTAAGATGTTTTCTGAGGTTATGTTTTTGTTTTGTTTTTTTAAATATTATTTGGTGCTTGTTCTTAATTGCAAGCTGGGCTTGCAAAAATATTTATCTTTCTGTTTATTTGAAAGAGGTCTGGTTTAGAAAAAAGTTTATTTTGTTTTATTTTTTTATTTTTCTTTTGTTTTTTTAAAGATGAGCTCTATCAACCCAATGGTTTTATTTTGTCATTGCACAGTACAAAACCAGGGTATGTTCAGTGCTGCATAGCAGCCCGTGTCCTGCCTGAAGAGCGGTTAGGTACAAGTGATTCCGGCTGGAGAGCTGCTTTCAAGGCAAAGTATCTCCAGGCCAGATACAAATTTGGGAAGAGAGGCAGTGGTTTTTGTATGGAACCTTGCTGGCCCTCCGTTTTCTTGTTTAAACAGGTTTGTGTTATATATTCCCATACCTCTTTGAGGCAAGGTAAAAAGCCAAATATTGCTCTTGTTGGAAGGGCCTGATTCGCTGCCGTTGAAAATCAATGGGTGTCTTTCCATTGGCTTCAGCGGGCATTGATTCATGCCCTAAGGCTGGAGTGTGAGTTTTAGAAATAGGAAAAAACAACAGCCACAGCTAATTTAAAGAACCTCTGCCCTAATATTCACCTGCTTGTGAAAGTGAATGTGCTAAAAGGAAATTTGGGAACCCAATCCAGTGTATGGCATGGTTACCAATTTGTACACACAACTTGTCTGGCTGGTATTTTTGAAGGATCCCATTTAGTTTGTAGGACCGTTTGCCCGTGTGAGTGCTTTCTTCTGCCCCAGTGATACATGTCCTCTCCACAAAGCCAGCACTTCCTGAACTTACGAAACAGCACACCTAAATAGAGGCACCTTCCCCAAGGGCAGTGGGGATGAATTGCTTCTCTCTCTAGTCCTATTGTAAATAGAATGGCATTCAATGCACTGTATAAGCTCAGTCTGGATTTCACCAAGCAGATGGCTGCCCATGTTGTTAAAGTTATTTGTGTTTGTATTGTGGTGAACAGAAACCCTTTGTCATTGGAGGATACAAATTGTTGCGTGATTGGATTATATTCGATTAAAGACTGTAGTCCCGCCCTCCTCTTTCCTCCATTTTCTTTCATTTTTAGGGAACTGAAGGTTGGGTTTTTTTTATCCATTTTGCTCAAGTTTTCCTTGAAAAGTTGGAACTGGTCCATGGAGATGGATTCCCACTCTGATCCCTGCAGATTATCCAGCATTACCCAGATAGTGCATGGTCCCAGGTGTAGTGTTAAGTGGGTCAGTTTTAGCAGCACCAATGTTTTATTTTTGTTCCTTTCCTGGCCTTCATTAATGAATTGTGTTGTTCACTTCCATGCTTGGCATCTAACTCATGTTTGTTGAGTGCACTTTATTTCTTAGCGCGGACCTGACATCCCACTGGGCTTCTAAGGCATGAGTCCTCTCAATAGTCACCTGCTATGTGTTGTGCTGCTGCTGCGCAGGACAGCAAGGTTCAGAAGTGGCTGCACGAATTCCTTACTGGAAAAGAGTCATTTGCAAGGAGCTGCAGTTTGAGCTCCCTTTGCTAGTTTGTCATTGATGGGAGTGTCGGATCTCCCTTAGGCTTGTGGCAAGGCGTGGCATGGTAACTGTTACTACACAGTAGAAGGAGCTTAAGAGAATAGCATAGTGAAGGATGCAATTTCAGCATAAAATATATCAGGTGGTCAGTATTAGGGAACTTCTGGTCACACCAGCAATCTGTGATCAGACTGCAGCTGTAGCAAACGGTCCCTAGAATCAAAGGGATTGCCTGGGATTTGATGTCAGCATCTTTTACATGAAGTGATCATCTCAATATATAATTTTCTGTGTTGTTCGATGCCATAAAGCGCTTTAAATGGAGTCTGTCTTGTCACTTCCTTTGCTGCTTTTTGGTTATATTGAGACAATCAGGTGAATTCCTTCCCCTCCCCATCCCTAATACAGTCTGGGAAGGAGGTTAGAAGTTACAAAATATTTAAGTGTGAAGTCTGCATAATTTCAGCTTTGAAGAGATGTAGGAGCCGTGGTGGGAAAGAAGCTTTCCGTGGGGTTTTTTTTTTTTTAGCCCACAGTTCAGAATGTGTGAATTTTACCACTGTGCCCTTCCAAATGTAGTGAGCTGAGAACCCTCTCTTGCCTTGTGAGATTCATCTATTCCTCAGCCTTTTGGTTAATCCCTTCGGAAACCTAGCCCAACTCCCCGGCTTGGAAGACTCATCTTGCACGTGACGCTGGAGGAAAATCAAGAGCAGCAATGCTGCCAGTGGGTTGAGGCAGGGGTTGGAGGGATCGGCTTCCCCCCGGGTAAAGCAGAGACGTGGCATTGGCATCAGTATCACCTCCCTAGCAAGGGTGGAGAATGCTGTGTAAAGAGCAACACTTCCATTGAGGTCTTACTAGAGAAAGAGGAGATAGAAAGTAAGAAACTCGGAGTAAGGCATGTAGCCAATGAGTGAAGTGCAATGAGGCTATTTGCGTGTACTAAACTCTTTATTATACAGTACCTCCGGGGACCGCATAGGCTATGTCTCTGGGATGGGAGCACTTGCTTTCAGTTGAGATGGCTGGAGCTTTTCACTACAGATAGCTCTTGAAGTCTGACCACAGGTCTAAATTTAGATTGGTCTGATTTATATTTTCTTTCACGGGTATTTGTAGAGTCTGGTAATCTTCACACCTTCTTTGGGTTCCTAAAACACCCTGAAGCTTTCACTGATCCAGTCCACTATGCCAGAGAGCCTTGAAGACAGGCTAGGGAGAGCGTAGTGGGTGCCAAATCTCATGGGAGTTGTCTGGGATAGCCAGATAGCTAGGCAAGGGAAGACTGGTCAGAGGTGGCAACAAAGGATTTGATTGCCCCTTTAAACTTACCATAACATTCCTTGTTAACCAGAACTCTGGAAACTATTCTGCCTGCTGGCCAGGTTTGTAAACTTAAAATAATTTAAGTTAACCTATGAAATAAATCATCCCCAAGTACTCATAATTCTTATTTCATTTGTCAGAAGGGGCAGCGATCCATGATTAGTTCTCTCTCCAATGGTCTAGCTAAGTTTTAAAGATAGGCAAGCTGAACTGGTTTAGGCTTGGACCTCTCATGCTCTTGAGTAATCGGAAGACCACTATCAATATATCTTTTAGGATCTCATTGCCTTTTCCCTGCACATGCACTTCACTGACATTGAAGTTCTGCCCTAAAATATTCTGCTTCCGTTGCCTGGAGGGAAGAAAGGATGTAGTTCGCTGCTTTGCATACAGCAGTAAGCTTTGTATGTATTTTTAAAAGTCTATAAATATTGATCACATTCACACTCTTATGTATTTTTAACTCTATTCTTTATTAATAATAAACACTGACTCAGAACAGCTATGCCCAGTTCAGTTTGCCTGTGGTTAAAGTTTAGCCTCGTGTTTATTTTGTACTAATATGGAATGCACTAGAGCAATCCACAGACTGTTGAGATGTGCATTATAATAACACTCTATACCTCTGCATCCAGTTCTTGGGGGTTTTTTTATGCTTTGCATTTTTTCATGTTGAATCTGTAAAATAAATAAAAATAAAAAAGTTAAAACGTTGCAAAAATAAAATTTTAAAAAGAGGGTAAAACAATAATTGCTGTATGTTAATTTGTAATTATGTAAAAAGTGAGCAGGTTATTGTCTGTAAAATTCTTCAGTTTTTCTGTAATTTGCCAGAAACCATCAGGTTTTGTAACAAGCTTTTATTTATCTTCCTTTCTAGTTAGCAGCAACCTCTTGTAAAGTCATTTTTTTTCCTCTAAATAAATTTGATTTTAAGTCTGAGCACTGTGTCCGATTTACTGCCATCCCTGTAGTTTTCCTTTTATTGACGGGATTTATTGCGATGAAAGAGAATGAATGGGGAGGAAAGAGAATTGACCTTACCAGTAATAGATATTCCCAGCTTTAACTTAAAAATCCCTACATGTATGTTTGAGGATGTTTAAAATATGTGAACATTTATTTCCCCCTCTGTAAAGTTTAAATGTTCTGGAGAAAAAGGAATTGTCTTGATTGGGATGAGACATAATGTGGGAGGCAGATTATTCCACATCTGCCCACTTCAAGGTTTCTTGCACCTTCCTCTGTAGCATCTGGTGCTGGCCACTATCAGAGACAGGATATGGAATGAGATGGACCCCTGGCCTGATCCAGTCTGGCAATTGCTGTGTTCCTGTGTCTACCCTACCCTTCAGGGATCATCAGCACTGAAAATAGGTCTGATTGTATCCCTGACGAATATAAGCAGGGCCATAAAGCTGTACGTGTCTTCGTAACAATTCTGCGGCCATGCTGGTCATGAGGAACAGAATCGAGATATGGTGGACAGGGAGGCAGGAGAGTTGGATTCTGTTCCTAGCTCAGCCAATCAGTAGCTGTGTGACTGAGAGTAAGTTGCATTTCCCTCTGTATGCCTCAACTTCCCCATCTGGAAGACGGGTATAATGATATTTGACTCTGTTTGATACAGCTTTTTGTCCATAGATCTCGGCTCTTTACAAGGAGGGTAAGTACCATTACCATAGCACCTTCAACTCCAGAAACACAGACTTCTATTGTTACACTCAGATACATGCTGTTAGCTGGGGTAGGCTGTGCTATGGCTTATAACAGGGATCAGCAACCTTTGGCCCACGGCCCGCCAGGGAAAGCCACTGGCAGGCTGGAACGGTTTGTTTACCTGCAAAGTCTGCAGGTTCGGCCGATCGCAGCTCCCACTGGCTGCGGTTCGCTGTCCCAGGCCAATGGGGGCTTTGGGAAGCGGCGCGGGCCGAGGCATGTGCTGGTCGCTGCTTCCAGCAAGGTTATTGCTTGCTCCAATCCTTTGTTTGCTCCACAAACTGAACTTCAACATAGATTCTCCCCAAGTGTAAGGACAACAGAGCCTGCACCACCTGTCCTTTTACTTTGTTTGTGGATGCAGATTAATTGCTTTTACTCAATATATGTTATTTTACCTGTCTTCACATGGGAGCTATGGAGACTTTGATCAATATACTCAATGCTCGCTAAGTGCCTCTCTCTCTAACCTCAGCTGGAATGCTTGTTAGTGGCTTCTGAGAGCCACATTGAATCCCAACATGTCTTCCTGTGCCAGCTAAACCAATAGTGCACAGCAGGAACTACTTGTTCTCTCCTTCTCTCTCTATCTCTCAGGGTGGATGTACAGTATTTTCCCCAAAGGCCATGTCGCGTTAGGGCACTAGCCTTTTCTGAACTGATCCCATCGTGGTGAAGTGCTTATACAAAATTAGATTTCCCCAACATCCTGCCCAGTGGTCAACTAGTTACATGCAGTGTAGCCAATTTAGTCATTGGTTGGAAATGTGAATTGAAACTGAAACGTGAATACACACTTCAAAAGCATATGCAGTATATGATAAAATACTTGTACCTGAAAAAGCATAGGTTTGAAAAGTATGAACAAAGACTAGCTTCCTCACACAGCTGTTGTTTTTTCTGACAACGCTGATGCATTCGTTTTGGCGATGTTGGCCAACCTAATAATTTCAAATTATGATTTGTAAGCAAGGTTTGAATGAGCTCTCCCCTGACAGCTAGTAATGCGCTGAGGGGAGGGGAAGTCTTCAGGACCAGTCTGCAGAAGAGACTTGCCCACCCTGCTCTAGCATTGAGGTTCCCCCACTGAGAGCTAAAATCACTGAGAACTGGTGGAATCTCAAGAGACCAACTCTCAGAGGTCACAGTGGCAGGGGGCAGCAGAAGGTGATGGCGCAGGGCCATTGGTAATGGAGCAGTGGAGTGAACGGTGGGTGGCATGATGAACGTGAGCGGCCAGGGTGAATGGCAAGCAGCGAGCAGCTGGAGGGATGAGCAAGGTGCTTTCTCCCCGCAACCCCATGAGAAAGCACCTCTGAACTCTGGGTCTCCATTGACCAAGGATGACAACTCTGAGTGCAGTGTCATGCAGGGAGAAGGGAGGAGCACGTTAAAGGAATATTTGTTTGTTGGACTATATTTTAGTGACTTTGCTCCAGAATTAGGGTGACCAGAGAGCAAATGTGAAAAATCGGGATGGGGTGGGAGGTAATAGGAGCCTATATAAGAAAAAGACCCAAAAATCGGGACCGTCCCTATAAAATCGGGACATCTGGTCACCCTATCCAAAATGCTAGATTTGTGACTGGGAAACTGAGTTAAATATACATTTCCTAGTAGGCCAAGATTTTTAAAATGGATTATTTGCCAAGGTTGTTATCTCACATTGTTGCCATCTTGGGGAGTTTCTG